CATCTTTCAATTCAACAGAACCAATCATTATCTTGCTTTTCATATCCTGTAATAGGCAACATGATGACACAAATTGGAGCATGCAGTTACTAGTCGAGACTAGTTTTGATACAGAAACAAGATTGAACTGAAAAGTTGGCACATATAGCACATCAGAGAGAATCAAGGACTCAGTCAATTCAACATTTCCAATATAGCATACAATAGTAATTTGACCATTAGGTAAATTGATGGATGTATAGACATGTTTAGGTGTGTCAGAGAAAAATGATGCATCACATATCATATGATCTGTAGCACCTGTATCTAGTATTAATGTATGTTTAGTGAATGTGGTCAAAGCCATGCAATAATGAGACTTAGGAATACCTGAGAGCTCTTGAATGGCAGTAGCAACCATAGCAGGATTATTTGACGATCCAGCTGTAGATTGAGCTCTCTGTGATCTTTTAAAAGCTAGAAACTCATGAAGTAAATCATTAGTAAGAGAGACAAGGTTATCAGATGAGGCGGAAGTGGGAGTTTGTTCAAGGGTGGTATATGTGGCATGAGCAGAGTGTTGAGGATGGATTCTGGGACCCCTTGGGCCAATCCAGTTATCAGGATAACCAACCACTTGAAAGCAATTTTCAGAAGGATGACCATAGCCACAGTGTGTACAACGAGGTCTTTTCTTTGGGTGAGGTGGTTTGGTAACTTTGAAGTTAGGATGAGCATTTGGCTGAGAAGTTTTAGCAATCATGGCTAAAGATTCAGATGGATTAGTGGTGTTGTGGAGTGTTCTTTGTGTTTCTTCTTGAAGGAGAATGGAGTATAGTTTGGATAATGGGGGTAGGGGTGTGGATAGAAGGAAATGGCTGCAAAGTGAAGAATAAGAATCATGCAATACAACAAGGAACTTCATAACAGAGTCTTGTTGTTGACAGACAGCCATAGACGAGTCTTGTTGTTGACAGGCAGCCATAGACTCAAAAATGTTACAAGTACAAGACACAAAAGCACCACAATTACATTTGATAACAAACATATACGTAACATATTCATCCCAAAGAGCCTTAAACATGTTATAATACGGAGTGATTGACAGTGAACCCTAGTCTATAGTGCTTAAAGACTTTTCATGTTGAAAAACCCTAGGTCCACTACTCATAGCATATCTAGTTTTAATCTCATCCCATACTTCTTTAGCCGATGTAAAAAACATGAGAGATTGACGAATTTCTTTTGAAATAGTGTTTAATATCCATGACAGCACCAAGTTGCTTGCACGTACCCAGAAATCATAGAGAGAGGATGTGTTACCATAGGGGGACAGAGCAGGTAATGTGCCATCAATGAAGTCGCTCTTGTTTTTTACACTTAGAGCCATCTGAATGACGCGAGACCAAGAGACAAAGTTGTCTCCATTGAAGAGCTCAGCAACTATCAATGCTCTTGGATTATCACTTGCATGTAGGTAGTATGGTGACGACGGATCATCGGTTGGGTTGACAGCGACCATATCGTATAGATCGCAGAGAAATCGAACAAAACAGTATAGATCTCAGAGAAATCGAATAAATCGAACAAATCTAAGCCGAAATCATACAGATCAAAGCGAGAATCATACAGATCGAGGCAAAAATCGTGTAGATTTAGACCAATAGACAAAAAAATAAAAACATATCGAAAATCGTCTCAAAGAGGGAGACGAGAGAACAGAAAAGTAAAGAAAATCATCTCAAAGAGAGAGACGTAGTAAATGTGCAGCGGAAAAACTCAGGAATCACGGCGAACACCGGCGACTGATACCATGATAGACGAGAGATTGAGCGAGAGAGATGAAGAGTTGCAGAGAAAAAGGAAACCAAACAAAATATTATTGAAAGTCTGAATCAGTGTTACAACCAGTATAATGAGTATTTATACCTAGGGTTTGATAAATGCTATATGCATAAGGAATAGGAATGTAAAAGTTGTTATAGAGAGACTAACAACTACAAGTTAAATAAACTAAATAACAACTTTATATATATTATTAGGGAGCGAGTCGTCGGAGGTGTTGGGGGTGGAATTTGACGAAGACTTCTGGTTGGTAGTATGAGGTTGTCCACCTGGGTGAGGGTAGAGTTTATGGTTTCAGATCTAACTAGGCGATGGTGAACTACAGTTTTTGGATCTACGATCCAAGCTGAGTCTCTGTTCGGAGGTGACCTCCCTCGACTGTAGATGCCATGCTTTTGGTTGGAGTGGCTTGTTGGCTGCACGAAGGGATTTGTTCTAGTATCTAGTGAGTTTATATGTTAGTGTGTTTAGTGTGTGTTTTTTGTTTTCTTTTTTTTTTTTAATTTTATTTTATGGTTTATTCTCCTTTTTGGGGGTTAGTATTCTCATGTTCGCGAATTAGTATTCCCTACAAGCGGGAGTTTGTATTATAGTTTTTCGGCTATTCCTTTTCACAATTTGGGTCTGGCTCGAGATAGGCCTAGTATCCATCGGAAGCAACCCATTCTTTGGCTTTGTGGTTTAGCCAATATGGATGAGTAACTTATTTCATATAACAGACCCAATATACGATTATTTATTATATACAGAACTAAATATACTTATTTCGTATATATATTTAGTGCTAACCCACTAAATAGGATTTATTAGAAATAGTAGGATTTTCCTGCGAAAAAACCTTGCTTACTAAATAAAAATAATTTTTTAAACATTATTTTTTACTATTTTTTTATTTTCTTTTGTTAATTTTTTATTTACCATTTTTCGTGAGACTTCTATCTATATTTTGGATAATGTGATATCAGTAATTGATATAAATATGTAGATTAATTAACCTTTTAAAAAAGTTCAACTAACTCTTTATTTCTATGTGATCTATTTTTATTTTTATTTTTAATGATGCGTTATCAATAATTTGATAGTAAACTTTAAAAAAATTATAATTAATTATTTACTTTCCGACTAATATTGAATTCTACTTGATAAAAATATAAACAAATTAAATGGATATGATTATATGTTAATCACTTCAAGAATAATTATTTGTAATTGAAAAAAATATATGAAATTTACAATAATTACTGAAACACACAGATGAGAAAATTTCCTAAATAATGATTTTGTTTTTCTTATTTAGTGTCTTGTTGTCTATTTTTCTATTTTTTATTAAGTATTAACTTCATTTCATTTAAAATCTAATAATAAATTTATTTATTATCAATCATTTATATTTTATATTAAATTAATGTTCATTTTATGATCTTCGATTTGAGCCTCATATTAGATGTATAAAAAATAATAATTATTTTCAAGGTACTAAATAGTTTTAAAGTTAATATTGTATATAAAAAAAACTTAATATATTATTTAGTATTTACGAATTAGAAACTAGTCTCATGTTGTTCATATGGTGAAATATAATATATGTATGATAAAATATATTTAGTATAAAATAATTTAAAATATTAATTGGTATGTTTAACATCTATGATGTTTAAAAATCTAATGTTACAAATATAAAAATATAAGTAAAAATTATTTCAAGGATCAAGTATATACAATATTAAAATGCAAAACCAGTGACATCATCAAACTATTTATCATTTGTTGAACTGCCACGTAAATTATAAGATTATGAAGAATATGTATTGTTAATAATTATGATAAACCAATGAGCCCTCATCGAACTGTCTTGTTAATTATAAGTTTAGAAAGAAAATATATTGTTACAACTATGAGGATAAAATGACGGATCATACATCTAACATGTAAATTATCAACATAAAATTAAATTACAAAATATTTACAATGTATATTGTTATAAATTATAATTATAAACCAATACATCATCTATCAAACAACTATGTAAATTGTTACATTACAAAATATAATAATATTTCTAATGTATATTTTTATAAATTATAACGATAAATCAACAGGTGTCGAACTGTATATGATTTAGAAAGAAAGTTCAAAATTTATAACGATAAATCAATAGGTGTCGAGCTTTAATCTTAACCAAGACTCGAGTTTTACGCACTATTTTCGTTCGAGCATGCGGTAGAAGAGTAAGTACCTTGTTTATGACTTACTACTTCGAGTTTGTTTTTTGAATTATGTGTTCGTTTTTATTTTCTTGAGTTATGGAGACCCGGTAGAATCAAAGTTTAAATCTTTCTTCTGAAATTTGCATCTTTCATCATCTGCTCTTAGATTCTTAGTATAATTTCGTGCAATTCAATCCCAAATCAAGCGAGTAGCATGTTTAGGATCTTGTTTTTTTTTTTTTTTTTGGTTTTGTGAATTGACGATTAGATAGTGAATGAAGCTCTGAACAACATTCTTTCGAGAAGACGACGCGAGTGAGATCTTTCGATCGTACGCAAAAAACTACAAATAGAGCGCCACCAGACGGCAACAGCATCCGACGACCGCAAGTCGTCGCCTCCCCTTCTGCCATGGCAACCATTGGATACGGCGAAATTCCACGCTGGAGGGAGAAGACCGACGACCCCACCGAACCACAAGAGACCGGTAATAGTGCCGACCCCGGCATCGGCCCCCTCCGCTAGAAGAGAGGTGACTCGCCGATTATGTTCCCGAAAGATAAAAGGGAAAGGGAAAAGGAGAAACGGGAAAAAAGATATGCCCTGAGATGAGAAGATTAATTAATTGGTGTCAAATTACTATTATTATTTTGAATAAAAATAAAATAATAACAACAATTTCATTCAAAATCTCAAAATTCCTCTAAATTTCACCTCTTTTTTTTCCCTTTTTACTATAGATACAAAATGGTACCATAGTAGCACAGTAAATACCTATATGTCCACACAGTTAAACCTGTTACTAGTTTGACTTGGACTCACTCACACACCCGCACGCAAACACCACACTACTTTTATCCTTCAATCATAACACACACACACACACACACACACACACACTCAATATCAAAATCTTTCTTCTTCATATTCAACAATCAATCCAAGTCCCTATTTACTACTGTACACCCAATGGGCACGCGCCACAACCGCCGCCGCCGCCGCGAGTGGCTCTCCTTCGCCACCGCCGCCGTGGCACTCCTCCTCCTCCTCTCGTCCGTTTCCGGCGCCTACCTCCGCCTCAGCCCATCTCGCCAACTCAGTACGTCCGCCTAAATACTGATTTTTATGAATTTAGTTAATTAGCTCCTCTTAATTTCGCGTGCGCGCGTGTCGTTTTTAGGTTCGGAGGGCGGTCCGGCGCGGCGGAGACTTGGGGTGCCGGGGTCGTCGCCGCCGACATGCAGATCCAGGTGCGGGCGGTGCGCGCCCTGCGATCCGGTCCACGTTCCGGTCCAGCCCGGGTTCAGCATGCCGCTCGAGTACTACCCGGAAGCCTGGAGGTGCAAGTGCGGGAACAAGCTTTTCATGCCTTAGAAACAAAGAAAAATCATAGTTTATTATTTTTATTTTCCCCCCCCAAAAAAATATGTATTTATAAATTGGTGTAATTTTTGTAGGGATTTGGGAAAAATTAATTATTATGAGTATTAATTTTGCATTTTTTACAGGTAACAAATTGTTCAGTAGTTTCAGACTCGCAGTATTTCATCAGATGACTCTTTTTTTTTTTTTTTGGTACAAACAGATGACTCTTTTTTTGTTAATAATTTCTTTATTTCTGTACTTATTTTTTATTTTTTTTATTTTATTTTTATTTTGTGAATGTGATTTTATTAATTTCATTTGTTGCTTGTGTGGTAATTAATTAATGGCATTTGTTTGTATTTTTGTTAAGCATTGTTAGTAATTAGCCAGTAACTGAAGGATGTTGGAAGACAGGTGTGAACTTTGGGAATGTAAATTTTTTTGGGGTGAGATTATGGACAAGGATTGTTCCCTTCTTGTCTCTGTTTATTTGGTTTGTTTTGTTCGGTTTGATAATCTTGTCTCCATTTATTTAGTTAGTTTTGTCTTGCGTCTTAATATTGTACACGATAAAGTAAATTATTACTACTATTTAGCATGGTTAAGAAATCGGACCGGCCGGTTCGGCCGGTTCAACCGAGAATCGGCCAGAAACGCCATTCTGGTTTGAGGTGTCGAACTGTGGGGGCCCAAAACAAATCATGAACTGTTCGAACTGGTAAAATCGGAAAATCGGTCGTGGTGTATTTGTAATTTGTGTTGTTTGTAAATATCAAAAGGATGATTTAAGGAGAATGAAGAAAACGAGACAAAAATCAAAGTCGAAGCACGTAATAGTTACGTTCTTCTTAAGACGAAATAGCCCTTAAAATACATACGGTTAACGGCAAACGCCTCCAAGATACAACGACTTTCGACTTGTATATAGCAGTACTTCAAATATACAAGCCTTCGGCGAGCAATACTATTGTTTGGAACTCTCAAGACTCCATGAAAAAATCATAGACAACAATATGGTATATGATATTTGAAAAATAATGCAAGAGCTCTCTAATTTTCAAGTTATGAATGTTTTCATGTTTGTGGGTATTTATAGATGTAGGGAAACACCTCCAAGAGGTTTAAGTGTCAAAAGACACCTTTTGGGACGTGTCTGAACGAGAATGGATGCATCTAGTGGCGAAAAGATACATTATGGTCACCAAGGATTGCGACCCATTGATTTCCACAGCCAGTTGCGCGCCCGTGCGCCACGGGCTCGTACGAGCTCATACGGACTCAGAATCGAGTTCTGTTTTTTTCTACTTGTCCCCAACGAATCATTCTACAATTATAGCATATATATTGCATAATTATGGCTCGTTTAGTTTGTCCAAATATTTATTAAAATATAATATTTTACGAATCCAACAATTTGAGTTACTTAAACTCATTGCTTCAACTTTACATTTCCCACATATACAACTTAGAATTAATTTTTCATTCTCCTTAAAATAGTTTTAAGAATTTCCTAAGCCTTCCACTTACAAAAAATGGAACCATAAAATCGGTACAAAACCAATTTTTCTTACAATCCCCCACATAAATGAAATTAATGCATACATGCAATACTTGAGAGTCCCGACGAACCGTCATTGCATCAGGATAGATAGCTTGTGGCTTTAAATCTTCCTTAGTGAAATACTATCGGATACGCTAGCCAGTTAGTAGCGCGATGCTTTGAACTTACCGGCTGTTTGTGTGCACCAAGACAATAGTACTCACACAACAACAGTTCTAACAAATTCTTGTTCTCACGTTGTGTCCATTTCGGCCTTGGACCATATCTCGGTTAATTAGTAAGTGTTCGTTGAAGCGGCCAATTTACTTCTCACTTACAAATGTGATTATCCTATAAAGAATATCGTGCCTTACTCCACCCATAGGTATAGGAATCATTAAAAGTCGTCGACTTAACGTCACCACTTAGGCAGATTTTAACACTTGACGGTTCTAGAAATGAGCATAAATTTTTCAAGTGTTCCGCTGAACTGTCAAAACTTAGTTTTCTCATTGAACCAAGGTTTCGGGATCTCCGATTCTCATGGTTGGGTTACCGCTAAGACCGTTCGTTTGTTGTGGATTTTTATTAAGCTCATTCTCCTAACCAGTTTGTACAATTTATCTTATTTCATGCTTTATGTAAACGGATCCGTTAGTTAATCTTTAACTCACATAGTCAACTGATATAACCCCACACGAGATAATTTTTCTTATGAAATTAAGTCTCCGACGTCTGTGTCTAGACTTACTATTGTGCAAACTACTTTGTACTCTTTCAATTTCTGATTGATAAATAATCATCACCATGAACACAATTTGTTCCACCTAGGAATATCTTTTACTTGACAGAGTAATTATTGATGGAGTAAGGTGTAAGAGTTCATCGATCAGAAGACGAACCTCTATTTTATAAAGTTGATGTAGCGTATAAATAAACCATGTTTAAATTCATCTTCTCTTGTCTCATAGGAAACATTCTCTTCCCTACAATAGAGAGAATTAGAGAAATACTGATCAGACATGCTAAATATCCCTAATTAGAGTAAAACTCGAGTTAAGCTAAAGCCAAACTCAAGGAAAAAAATCTTATTCGAATAGAATTTTTGTATCTTAAACCTTGACACGAACATGAGCAAAATTTGAGCCAATCGCGAGCATTTGTACATTTTTGTCGAGTCAAGTTGATCTATAAAGGGGCGATGGGATATGAATTAAAACCAATTTTGAATGTATTTTTGAATTAAAGTGAGTTAATTTTAATTTAAGTGATTGAATGGAGTGGTGTTTTGAGTTTGTATTTAAATAATACTAGTACAATTCCCGTGTGTTACACGGGTGTTTGTAATTAAAAAATTATTTTGAAATTTTAAAATTAATGAGAAAAATTATTTTAAATTTTATTTACTTTTTTACCAAAGAAATATATTATTATATCTTTTAAAATGACACTTGTTACTTGTGCAACTTACATGTGTTATATTATAGTATATAACGTATATCGTATAACTACTTGAAATATAAATATATTAATTGATAAATAATTTTATTTTTCTAATTAATATTTAAAAATAATTTTATTATTGTTATAAAGATAAATATAATTTATTTTTTTATACATACAATATGGATGTTAAATCGAAGCTCATTAAGAGATGATTAATTTGATATATTATACATGTAAAACTGATAACAACTACAAAAGTTATTAATTTTTAAAATATATTTACAATTCAATGGTTATAATAAGAAATGATATTAAGATACATTAATACATGTAAATAACCATAAATAATCAATATATTTATGGATGATCCGGATCTAATTATTTTTTGATTAGAAATAAATTAAAATTTAACCAAGCTTAATTACGAAACATGATTATTTGCCAAGTAGGATTCCGAAGCACCAGAAGCAGCCACGTAGGCTCAGCGCATTCGGGAATTATATATAGGAAGGATTTAAAATGTTACGATTAAAGTAGATGTGATTTAAATGTAGTAAAAATGTTATTGAAAATGATAGATTAGTTAAAAACATATGAATTGATGATAATGATTTAAATTTGAAATTATGTGAAAACGATTAATTGATATTATTTAATTATATTAATAAAAAATAGGAGAGTTAAGTTAAGGTTAAGTTGAGAAAAATTTTAATTTATAAGTAGTAAAAATTTATCGGACCGTCAAAACTAGTTATATTCTACATCCAACCGCGTCTTAAAAGGTCAAGCTCAAGCAACATTTAAAAAATTTGAGCGACTCGACTCGATTGTAACCGCAGAGAAACTTTTCCACTTTTTTTTTTTTTTTTTTTTTTTTTAACACCTAATTTCTATTATTAGTCCTCAACTCTCGAATGTATTTATGCAGATGTGGTGTATTAAATTATTAATGAGACACCTCGAAAGGGATAGTTGTACTTGAGACATAACCCAACAAAGTTTATCTTATTCATTTACATAAAATCAAAAATATCCAAAATAGCACATAAACTCGGACAAACAGAGGAACGGTAAAAAGAAAAAAAAAAATAAAATGGTGAATTGGGTCAAAATTAATATACAGTAAAGAACAGTAGAGATAAATATTATTTTACTTTGAAGTTCCCATGGTTTTCTGAACCGCACGCACTGTAAATAAATGGAGTAAGTAAGTAACAATGATTTTACAATACCAGGTGATCGTTTTCACTGTTCTTCTGACCAACAACCAAAATTTTGACAGAGATTCAGGTAAAAATAATAAATGAGAAGGACAAATTTTTCTAATGTGAGCGTCACAATGTTTTGAATTCATTCAAAAAAATATACGCCACATAAGAAAAAAAATAGACCCAATATAAAATTATATATTCCAATGTAAGTGGAAGTGAACTGAATTATGCTTATGTGGTAACGCGAAAAAGAAATTTAGTCTACTATTAAGTCTATTTTCCAATACAACTACAAGTGGAACTGGGTTTTTGCTAATGTGACAGTAAGAAAAAGAAATTCGGTCTACCCTTAAGTCTATTTTAAATCCAAGTAGAGACGTAGTCTCCTTAAATTTTAGAGTGAATTTTGTTAACTTTATATAATTTTATCCATATCCAAGACTTGAGTTTATTTACATGGCACATAGACAAAATTAGACTCAATGTATTATAGATGCTCTAAACAAAAGTAGACTCAAAACATTGGATATTTTCTGAGCAAAACTAGACCCAAAATTGAGACCTAGTCTTGTTGCATTGGAATTAATTTTGTTACATTTATTTATTTTTGTGCATGTCATCCAAGACTTATGTTTATTTACATATCACGTTGTTTTGTATATTTTGTTGTTATTTTGTGTGTTTTTATATGTTTTATTTTGTTTTATTTTATTTTAGGTTTCCCGGTCCATTTAGTCGTATTTCTCATTTAGTCGTATTTTAAATAAATTGCTAACTGTATTTTTTAAGGAAAAAAATCTTACAGCCTCATC